ACGGGGTTTCACCATGCTGACCAGGATGGTCTCAATCTCTTGACCTCGTGATCCACCCGCCTCGGCCTCCCAAAGCGCTGGGATTACAGGCGTGAGCCACCGCGCCCGGCCTGCTTCTGTTTCTTTACTCCTTCCTCCTCTCCATCTCTGGAGTCATTGCCCTAATCAGGGCATCATCATCTTTTTCCTAAAAAGGTGCACCTGCTTAACTGCCTGTCCTTCCTCCTGTCTGGCAGAACAGCCTCTAACACATCTCCATCAGAGTCACACTAAAAATGCGCATCTGATGATGTAAATTCCTTAACTAAAGTTCTTCAGTGGCTTCCCAACTCCTGTAGTATAAAGTCTGCTATCCCAGTTCTAAGTTGGTCCCAATCAATCGCTGCTAATTTCTGACTATTTTTAAAAAGCAGCTTTAGTGAGTTATAATTTACCACCGTAAAGATTACCTGTCTTAAGCATACAACTTGCCGACTTTTAGTAAATTTACAAGGTCGTGCAGCCATGACCGCAAATCCATTGTTAGAACATTTCTATCACAGCAAAAAGATCCCTGGTGTCTGAGCACTTCTTACTATCCATTTTTCTCTCCCGCCACTTTGACCTGCCATCTGGCTGTTAGCATTCATCAGCTTGGGGGCAGCTCTGCTTTCAGAAGTCATTTCCTGACCCTTCATCTAATCAAGTCCAGACCTAGGGGCTTCCACAGAACACCCTATTTAGGTTTTGAATACTTATTCCTCTATATGGCTACCAGACTGTGCTGCTTAAGGGTGGGGTGCATGTCTTATCCATTAGTTATAGGGCCTAATAGCACCTCGCACATAGTTGATGCTTTTTTTTTTTTTTTTTTTGACCGAGTCACTCTGTTGCCCAGGCTGGAGCGCAGTGTCACAGTTTCAGCTCACTGCAAACTCCACTTCCTGGGTTCAAGCAGTTCTCTGCTTCAGCCAACTGAGTAGCTGGGATTACAGGTGCCTCCATCACGCCCTGTTAATTTTTGGATTTTTAGTAGAGACGGGGTTTCACCATCTTGGCCAGTCTGGTCTTTAACTCCTGACCTCATGATCCACCCATCTCGGCCTCCCAAAGTGCTGGGATTACAGACGTTGAGACACCCTGCGCGGCCAGTTGATGCTTTAAACAGCCTCCTAAGAACAATCACCCCAATCTATATGTAAACCAACTAACATGTGGAGTCCTAATTAGGGAAAGGAAGCCAGGCTGGCGGGAGCAGGGGAAAGCAAAAAGAAAAAATAAATAAGCTATAAGTCTGCTTCTCTTCATGATCCAGGACACAGCCCTCCTGCGCAGTCAACTCACCATCCTCTGGTGCCCAGCTATCACCAGACTCCTGCAAGTTAGCTCGTTGCAACTTGACATTATCAATACTGCACAAAGCCCTCTTCAACATACAGCATGAACACGATCCTATCAAATCTCCAGCAAGCCTCTGTCTCCCCAGAGTCGGCTTCTCTCCTGCAGGCTCCCTGTGGTCTTTGTGGCACCGTTATTTTCCTACTTTCTCTAATAAATCTGCCTTCCTCTACCCGCAACTGTCTTGGTAAATTCTTTCACCCCAGCACCACCGGCCCAGTCGTCACTCCCCTGTGACATAATGAACTTCAAGTAAATGACAAAAACATAATCAGAATAACATTTCCTGAGTAAGTCACTTACATTTCTAAAAGATTCCATAGTTTGCATTTGATTTACAGCAGTTTTGAAAGTCCTCCCAGAGGCAGAACAAATACAAACAACAGAATACAAACAACAGAATAATGCTGAAAGTATACTTAATTAATTAGGGCAGCACATGGTGGCTCATGTCTGTCATCCTATCACTTTGGGAGGCTGAGGCAGGTGGATTGCTGGAACCCAGAAGTTTGAGACCAGCCTGGGTAACACTGAGAAACCACAAAAAAATAAAAAAATGTAGCTGGGTCTGGTGGTGTGCGCCTGTAGTCCCAGTTACTTCGGTGGCTGAGGTGGGAGGATTGCTTGAGCCTGGAAGGTCTAGGCTGCCATAAACTATGACTGTGTCACTGCACTGCAGCCTGTGTGACAGAGAAAATCCCTGTCTCAAACTCACAAAAAACCAAATTAAATATATTTAACATTTGTACTTAGATTTGTTTATTTATTTATTGACAGAGTCTTGCTCTGTCTCCCAGGCTGGAGTGCAGTGGTGCAATCTTGGCTCACTGCAACCTCCGCCTCCTGGGTTCAAGCGATTCTCCTGCCTCAGCCTCCCAAGTAGCTGGGATTACAGGCACGTGCCACCACGCCTGGCTAATTTTTGTATTTTTTTTTTAGTAGAGATGGGGTTTCACCATGTTGGCCAGGCTGGTCTGGAACTCCTGACCTCAGGCGATTGGCCCACCTCGGTCTACGAAATATTTATTTTTGTATAAGAGTCAAGTACAGATAAGCTATAGCAAATACCAAACATTTAAGAACAATTTGTTAGAGGAATATACAAGAGTAAGCTAAAATAATTTAAAAAGTTTAAAAAGCTGAGTGTGGTGGCACACATCTGTAGTCCCAACTACTCAAGTGGCTGAGGCGAGAGGATCGCTTGAGCCCAGGAGTTCAAGGCTGCAGGGAGCTATGCTTGAGTTGCTGTCTCTTTAGAAAAAAAAAAAAAAAAAAAAAAAAGTAAGACTATTACTCCAGGCTGGAGTGCAGTGGCTATTCACAAGTACAACCATCATGTTCCATGGCCCAAAACTCCTGGGCTCAAGCGATCCTCCTGCCTCAGCCTCTTGAGTAGCTGGGATTACAAGTGTGTGCCACCACACCCAGTTTTTAAAAAAATCTGTATTATTTTTTTCTCTGAATGGGTAAAAGTCTTCCACTCTTTGATTTAGTTCAGTATAGACGACATAATAAACACTACACCAAGATATTATGTGAGAACCATTCACTTAAAACAATTGTTTTCAAATAGTTTAAAGCAGGGAAATCTCTTCTTAAATAAAATAGTTGCCCAGAATCACAATGGAGGAAGCAGATAAAGAGAGGTGCTGCTCTGGTTAAAGTGGGTGGGGGCACGGGACTTTCTTCTGAAGCCCTCCTGCCTCCTCCATAGGCATCTTTGTGGAACTTTCCAGGGTGCCTCCAAATGTGAAAAACACTATTCGAAAAGACTTCCTTACACCTACCATGTGCCCAGAAAAATATGCAAAAAACCCATTCTGTTTGATCCTCTCTCTGATTCCATTCTTTTTCATGTATACATATTTACTTTTTCGAGATGGAGTCTCTCTCTGACACCCACGCTGGAATGCAGCAACATGATCTTGGCTCACTACAATCTCTGACTCCTGGGTTCAAGTGATTCTCCTGCCTCAGCCTCCTGAGTAGCTGCGATTACAGGCGCACATCACCACGCTTGGCTAATATTTGTATTTTTAGTATAGAGAGGGTTTCACCATGTTGGTCAGGCTGGTCTTGAACTCCTGACCTTGTGATACGCCTGCCTCCGCCTCCCAAAGTGCTGGGATTATAGGCATGAGCCACCACGCCCGGCCCTACTTTTTCAAGGTATATATTTATTTCCTTATTTTTAGGCAAAATCATTCTCAAGTGAGTTACAGACATTATGACACCTTACCCCTAAATAACTTGAGTATTTTATCTCCTAAGAATAAGGACATCCTTCTGCATAACCATAGTATTTCACACCTAAGAAAATTACACTAATTTTTGTTTGTTTGTCTGAGACAGTCTCACTCTGTCGCCCAGGTTGGAGTGCAGTGGTGTGATCTTGGCTCACTGCAACTTCCTCCTTCTCCTGGGTTCAAGCAATTCTCCTGCCTCAGCCTCCCAAGTAGCTGGGATTAGAGGCATCTGACACCATGCCCAGCTAAATTTTGTATTTTTAGTAGGGATGAGGTTTCACCCTGTTGGCCAGGCTGGTCTTGAACTCCTGGCCTTAAGTGATCTGCCCCACCTTGGCCAGAGTGCGGGGATTACAGGTGTCAGCCACTGTGCCTGGCCAGAAAATTATAGTAATTTAATATTCTAGTATAGTATTCCATATTTAAATTTTCTCCAAGCTTTCTTTTATAGCTTTTGTTTTTGAACCAGGATTCAGTCAAGGTCACACAGTGCACTTGGGTATGTTTCTGAGTACCTTTTTACCCAGGACAGTTCCTCCACCACCAGTTTTACTTCTATGATGTTAACATTTTTGAAGAGTCCAGTTCAATTATCTTACACATGTTCTTCATTTGGAATCTGTGGGATTCTTTCCTGAGGATTATGCATTATGTTCTGATTTATATCACCAGCTTTATCTATATTGTGTCTTCTTTACAAGAGGATCATTAGATTTTTCAAGACAACCATGTTTCGCAATACCCAGAGCTATGTCACATACTCCAATTTAATCCAGAGGCTGTACAGGGTTCTGTTACCTGTCATATGGCACTGGATGACACAGAAGGAAGCTGAGCACTACATCTGTGTACTTGGGCCTGGATATAAATAAACTCACGGTACTTATGATTTGTTGGCGGACTCTAGGCTGGCTGATTATGGATAGATGGGCACAGATAACTCCCATAATTTCTGGTACCTGACGAGGAAAAAGAAATTACTAAGACTGTAATCCTATAGGACGCTGATGGTTACTGAGGATATTGTGGCCATTTCTGAAAGGTCCTGGGTGGGGGTGACTTTTTTTAAAGATAGGGTCTTGCTCTGTTGTCTAGTCTGGAATGCAGTGGCGCAAACACAGCTCACTGCAGCCTTGAACCCCTGACCTCAAGTGATCCTCCCACCTTAGCCTCCTGAGTAGCTGGGACTACCGGCGCACACCACCACACCCAGATAATTGTATTTTTGGTAGAGACAAGGTATCTCTATGTTGCCCAGGCTGGTCTTGAACTCCTGGGCTCAAGTGATCCTCCTGCCTTGGTCTCCCAAAGTGCTGGAATTACAGGTATGAGTCGCTGTACCCGACTCCTACGGGGTGACTTTTAAATTAACTGTTCATTATTTTTTAAAGTTTCTGATGAAAACTACTTAAAATATATATCTGTATGTGTGTATACACATATAAAGAATTTGGAAGGATTTATAATCAAAGCTGTCTATAATGTGCTTTTGAATGATAGAATATTAGATTTTTTTGCTTCTATATTTTTTCTAATTTTTCCTTAATAATGATGTATTGATTTTATAACAAGACAAACTAATAAAAGTGTTGCAAGGAAGCTGGGCTTTTTCCATGGTGACTCTGAGAATGGCAGTGGACTCCTTACCTCTCTTCTTCCCAGAGATGTCCATCAGGCTCAGGTAAGGGAAATAGGAGCCACTGGGCTTTGGTCCAGTTCTCTGCTTGGACCACTCTTCTCACCCACAGATGCACAGGTTCCTGTCTCTGTGGAAATGTCAACTTCTCAGAGAGGCACACCCCAACCACTTAATATAAAATGGCCATTAGCAGCACCAGTAGGCTAGGCATGGTGGCTCACACGCCAGTAATCCCAGTACTTTGGGAGGCTGAGGTGGATGGATCACTTGAGGTCAGGAGTTTGAGACCAGCCTTGCCAACATGGTGAAACCCCATATCTGCTAAAAATAGAAAAAATTAGCTGAGCATTGTGGTGGGTGCCTGTAATCCCAGCTACCTGGGAGTCTGAGGTGAAAGAATCACAGGAACCTGGGAGGCAGAGGTTACAGTGAGCCGAAATTGTGCCATTGCACTCTAGCCTGAGCAACAGAGCAAAACACTGTCCCCTCCTCCAAAACAAACAAACAAACAAAAAAAGAACAAAGCATTTGGCTAACAAACACAAGAGTACATTTATTTACCGGGGTTTTTGGGAAAGATTTTTTTCCCGGAATAAAGACATTAAAAGGAAGCAAACATCTTTCTTCTTTCTGGACATAGTCTATTCTTCTCAGAATGTCCAAAATTGCCCTGACTACCCTATGACCACATGAACAGACAAGGCAGAAAGATGAAGAAACCCCTGGGTCTTTGATAACCCAGTTGAATCACTGAATCAATCCTGGAAAATACTCTATGTCCAGACTTGTTATGTGAGAGGATAAACCCTTTGGTTAAGCTTCTACCTACTGGGTGTTCTAGCTGCTAGAGGCAAGCAACTGATACAAGTGCCCAGCTCACCATGCTCTTATCCTGTCATTCTTTTTGCATCTTTGTTATTTTAACAGGCTAAAATAAAGGGTGATCATCATTTTTTTGTTGTTGTTTTTAAAATTTGTTTTTTATTTGTTTCTGTTTTTTGAGACAAGGGCTCCCTCTGTTGCCCAGGCTGGAATATAAAGGCATGATCATGGCTCACTGGACTCAAGCAATCCTCCTGTTTCAGCTTCCCAAGTAGCTAGAAACACAGGTGTGTGCTGCCATGCCTGGCTAATTTCTAAAAATCTTTTTGTAGAGATGGGGTCTCACTATGTTGCCCAGGCTGGTCTTGAACTCCTGGGCTCAAGCAAGCCACCTGCCTCGACCTCCCAAAGTGCTGGGATTATAAGTGTGAGCCACCATACCCGGCTGCTTCTCATCATTATTAAATTACTTTTTATTTGTACCCAAGAACAATATGCACACGATTTAAAAAGTCCAGTGGTATTTCAAGAGGCTCTCCTCCCTCTTCCCCAGGTCTGCTCTCCAGAGACAACTACTTTCATCCCTTTTATCTCTTCCTGCATGGCCTTCTTTATTTGTAAATTACATAATTATATAGGTATTTCTTGATGTGTTAATTTTAAATACATTTAGATAAATTCTCTTAATTTTAAGATTTCTAAGTCTGCCTCCTTCTAGGGTCACTTACGGCTTTTTATTTACATTTATTTATTTATTTATTTATTTTGAGGCAGGGTCTCACTTTGTTGCCCAAGCTGGAGGGCACTGGCGCAATCTCAGTCACTGCAGCCTCTGCCTCCTAGGTTCATGGGATTCTCCTGCCTCAGCCACCCAAGTAGCTGGGATTGCAGTGTGAGCCCCCGTGTCTGGCTAATTTTTGTAGTTTTAGTAGAGACAGGGTTTCATTCTGTTGCTATGGCTGGTCTTGAACTCTTGAGCTCAAGCCATCTGCCTGCCTCGGCCTCCCAAAATGCTGGGATTACAGGCATGAGCCACCATGCCCAGCCACTTACAGCTTTTTAAATCTTGATACCTTTAATCCATCTGGATGAGTCTCTAAATTAAAGTCACTCTCATATGTGTTAGTTATATCTCCCCAGAAAAACTCTACTCGTCTAGGAAATATGGACCACATCTTAGATAAAAAACAAAATCTCCCTCCCTAGTTACATACACAGTGGCTGTTTGGTGTATGTTTGAATGGGTATTTGTGACTAAATAGACTAAGCCTTTGACCCTGTACCTATCAGTAGTTGTTCTCAGCTCAATAGGATAAGCAGGGACCTCAGTAGCTACAGGAATGAAGAGGTCTTACTGGCTTTTTGAACGCAGGAAATGGCCACTGAAAGTTTACCTTCTCAAATCGGGACTCTGCATTTTTTGCCAAAGTTAGCAGTAATTCTCCTGCTGATCGCTGGGTGCAGGGATGTTTCAGGTTTCTCAGGGTATCAAATGTAGTCATTACAAACTGGAAGAGCTCATTGGAATCAAGAAAACCTTCAAAAATCTGAAAAGATGAGGAAAATAAACTTCCAAGAAATATGGAAATATGGTATGATAGTGCCCTGAACAAGGACTTGATTCTAAGTTTACAATCAGAGAAGTGGACAAAGATGTACAATGCTGATTTGAGTCTTGTGGTTTTGTTTTGTTTTTGGAGATAGCGTCTTACTCTGTCATCCGGGCAGGGGCACAATCATGGCTCACTGCAGCCTCAACATCTTGGGCTCAAGTGATCCTTCTGCCTCAGCCTTCTGAGTAGCTGAGGCTACAGGCACGTGCTACCACATTCTGCTAATTTAAAATTTTTTTTTGTAGAGACAGGGGTCTCACTATGTTGCCCACGCTGGCCACAAATTCCCGGCTCAAGTGATCTTCCTGCCCCCAGCCTCTCTAAGTGTTGGAATTATAGGCTTGAGCCATGCACCTAGCCCAGTCTTGTTTACAAAGGTGAAAAGGTGGAAGCAACCTAAATGTCCACTGCTAGCATCTGTGCATGGCCTTTTGCTGCTCTGACATGAAGGCTGGAGTATAGCGGTGCAATCACAGCTCACTGTAGCCTGGACCTCCCAGGTTCAAGTAATCCTCCCACTTCAGCCTCCTGAGTAGCTGGGACTACACGCGTGCACCACCATACCCAGCTAACTTTTTTATGTGTAGAGCTGAGGTCTCGCTATGTTTCCCAGGTTGGTCTTGAATCCTGGGCTCAAGTGATCCTCCTGCCTCAGCCTCCCAAAGTGCTGGGATGAGAGGGGTGAGCTACTGCACCCAGTCTGCTGCTCTGATGTTTAGAAAGAAGCTTTATTGGCCAGGCGCAGTGGCTCACATCTGTCATCCCAGTACTTTGGGAGCCTAAAGTGGGAGGGTCACTTGAGCCCAGGATTCGAGACTAGCCTGGGCAATATGGTAAAACCCTGTCTCTACTAAAAATACAAAAATTAGCTGGGCATGGTGGTAGATGCCTGTAATCCCAGCTATTTGGGAGGCTGAGGGAGGAGAATCACTTGAATCCAGGAGGTGGAGGTTGTAGTGAGCTGGTATCGTGCCACTGCACTCCAGCCTGGGTGACAGAGTTAAACTCCTTCTCAAAAAAAAAGAAAAAGAAAGAAAGAGTCACACTTTTATAAGAGTAGGACTAAAAAAAAAGCCCTAATGTTACACAGCTGACAGGTCCCCAGGGATAACTAAAATGGCTTGTCAGGAGACAACATACTAAAAGAATATGTCATTCTGTTTCTCATTGCATTTGGCAGTATATAAAGTCCTTCATATGATTATAATAGGTACAATCTACTGGGCACTTAACTGTGACAGGCATTTAGCAAAGCATTTTCCATATGCTATCTCATTAATTAATTAATTAATTTTCATTTATTTATTTATTTTTGAGGTGGAGTTTCGCTCTTTTTGCCCAGGCTGGAACACAATGGTGTGATCTCGGCTCACTGCAACCTCCGCCTTCTGGGTTCAAGCAATTCTTCTGCCTCAGCCTCCTGAGTAGTTGGGATTACAGGCATGTGCCACCACACCCAGCTAATTTTGTATTTTTAGTAGAGATGGGGTTTCTCCATGCTGGTCAGCCTGGTCTCGAACTTCCGACCTCAAGTGATCTGCCCGCCACGGCCTCCCAAAGTGCTGGGATTACAGGCGTGAGCCACCACGCCCAGCCTCATTTAACCACAACTGAATTGTAAACAGTGTAAATTATAAAAACCGTCCCAATTTTACAGATCGCCATTGTACAGATGAGAAAATTGATGTACAGAGAGACTAAATTACTTGATACTTTTGACCCTACATGAGTAAGAGCTGTAGGTTTTTCTTATTTTCCCCTACCCACTAGCATGCCTGGTACCTAGTGGATGTATAAGTATTTATTGAATAATGAATAACTAGATTAATTTTAAAATGTCTGGCTTGTTGGATCAACCATACTCTCTGGCAGCTCCTTTTTGTGACCAGCATATAGTTTTGCAAGAGGCTGGCAATTATTAATAGTAGGAGCAGAGCTGGTATGAAGTGAAATCCAGGGATACTGGCCTCAATGGCAGGTTGACCTTACCTCCAAACTAAGAGGGCAAAGTGTATAGGAGCCAGGGATGTAGTTCCTTGTCTCCAAACTATGGAATGTTTTGGGCCACATTCCCTGGACAATTGTGTATCATTTTGTTTTATGTATGTATGTATGTATGTATGTATTTATTTATTTATTATTTCTTGAGTCGAAGTCTTGCTCTGTCACCCAGGCTGGAGTGCAATGGTGTGATCTCGGCTCACTGCAACCTCCACCTCCCGCGTTCAAGAGATTCTCCTGCCTTAGCCTCCCGAGTAGCTGGGACTATAGGCATATGCCACTATGCCTGGCTAATTTTTTGTATTTTAGTAGAAA